CAAACAAACAAACAAACAATCATTGAAAATGTTATAGCGCATGAAGTACATAAAAACAACAGTGGCTATTGAACTACATTAAATTTCTCTAAATAAAGAATTCTGATGTCCTCTGAAGGTTTTAGAATGGTTTTTATCACATTCAAAATATTTAAATTCTTCAATAGCAGTGTGTATAGTTTGTTATTCGAAATCTATACCCTTTCTAATTGAAGCAATTTCCCACAAAACATTTTATTAGAGTTTTGTAGAATTTTATATTCAACAAAGAACTAATAGGTTAGAAAAATCGGCATGAATTTCACTTCGGTGTTCTGAGCCTTCTTATTAGATTTTACGAAGATATTTGAGTAACTAAGGAACTCTGTTTACTTTGATGTAATGAAAAAAATATTTTCATTGATATAGAAACCTGAATTTGCAAACAATGTCTATATCGTTATTTTAATAATTTTATCGGTCAATTATTACCGAAGAAACGTATTATACAAACTTAATTTCTTATTTATGCTTGCTTCTGACCTGGGGGTAATGAATGCCCATGATTTACTCTATTGTCCTGGAAACCTGTAGTGGATCAACGCGTTATAAACTTGTAGATGGTAGTAAACAAGGAGTTTAAGCTTTGTCGATCACAACGTTATGGTCCTGTTATCTATCATCCATATGGTCATAACGTATTAACTCAACTCGTTGTCGAAATAACCAATAATACTGTCGTAATTCTTGCTAAGCCTCATATATTTCAAACATATTATTATCATATAAGCTTAAAAAATGAGGCCCAGCAAGAATTACGACAGTGTCGTTAATAATTTCGACAATGCGTTGAATCAATACGTTATAACCCTGTTGGATACCGATCTACAGGGCCATAACGTGTTGATCCAATGCGTTGTAGAACCAATATGTGATAGACTACGTTATCATTGGCTTATTCGGTTTGTTTGTTTATTTGTTTTGAATTTCGCGCAAAACTACACGAGGGCTATCTGCGCTAGCCGTCGCTAATTTAGCAGTGTAAGACCAAAGGGAAGGCAGCTAGTCATCAACATGCACCGCCAACTCTTGGACTACTCTTTTACCAACAAATAGTGGGATTGACAGTCATATTATAATGCCCCCACGGCTGAAAGGGCGAGCATGTTTGGTGTGACGGGGATTCGAACCCGCGACCCTCAGATTGCGAGTCGAGTGCCCTAACCACCTGGCCATGCCGGGTTTAGATTTTATGGATTTTTAGGTTTGTACGCGACTCTCAGGATTAGATTTTCCATCCAGTTTGTGAATTATCTTCATTCTAAGTCATGGTCCAGTAGCGAAAACAGTGTCTCTTTCTGCACGTTAAGACTTTCATCAAAGGCTGTTTTCAGGTATACAATATATATATATTATCTACTAATAGCAGACAAGTGATAATAAAAACGAAAAAGTTTCACATTATTGCACTTAAGCTTTCCAACACGAGCTGGTGTAGCCAGCACATTAATTATCGAACAAACATTTATGTGGCACTTATAAATCCATTCTTTTGCTTCTGCGAATCAAATAAAGCATATTTAATTTTGAATTACACTGAAGAATTATTTCATTCAAAAGTATGGTTACAATTCAAAATTACGTAGTTTTAAAACAAAATCAAGTCTGAATGACTAAGATCAGAGTTGTATGTATGACTTGAAAGGACATGCATTGTGTTTAATTGTGCCTGCACATCAGAATTGTGGTGCATTTAATATAGGAAATTTAGTTATAGGTTGTGAAATGTACTTCTTCAGGGCGAGAAGATAATCCTTGTGAAATGTACTTCTTCACAGAGAAGAAATAAGCTGTTTTTTGTTCTTCATATTTTGTATACTACATGACGTTTCTGACTTTAATGTAACCTCGAAATGTTTCATTAAGTGATCAAGACGAATTAAACGTTACACAATTAACCAGAGTTTCGGTTTATTCAGATTTTAAATAGCATATTTTGGTTTGTATTCGAAAGTTTAAGCTTAGACATTCTGAGTTATAAAAGTTGTACAGCAACTGATTGATTATAATTATATTCAAAACCATGCTGTTATTTGTATTTTATGACGTGTTCTTTTTGAAGAAAATATTAACACAATACTAATACATAATTATTTATATATTAAAAAGCTATTACCTTATTAAGTAAAGCAGTAAATCTTAATTCCTTAAGTGTATCAAGACGCAACATTTGTTTATTACTGAAATACTGACCACCAAATTAATTCATGAAACATAATTTGTCTGTTCAATAATATTCGAAACTTGTGTTTAGTAGACTTAAAAAAAAAATCAAATGAGTTTTGACTTTTATACAAATTAACATTTTTCTTATTATTAACATATGATAAGGGTTTTATTGAATTCACTTTTAGAAATAAATAGTAAAAAGCATTTTTATTTCAGATTCTGCAAGCCCGAAAAATAAACTAAAAAAGAACTACAAAAACGAGTACCTAAAATCTGTTAAAAAGCATCGTCTTCAGTTTAGAAACGCCACTAACGTTCGCACCAAACGCTCAGTGTCAGTTGAAAGATATGTTGAAGTTTTAGTGGCAGTGGACAGACTGATGGCCAATTTGTATCGTGACAACTTGCGACATTACGTCTTAACGCTAATGTCAGCGGTAAACATCTCTTTATAACTTCATGGTGTCACCTTTAGATCGAAGTTGAAATATAATATGTTTTAACCGTTAAAAACTATGTAATAGACAATATTAAGTGAATTATAGTTGAAAACTGTATGTGAATTTTTTCTTCTGTGAGCACAAAATGTTTTAAGCTTAAACCAGAGAAACGTTGCGTAGAAACATGATTTTGAGGTAATACACATTCAATAGTCAAATACTTCTAATTTGAAATGTCTTAATATATAGTTTTTACTTACAGAAAAGTAAGTTTGAAAAGTGTCTTTAAAGTTTTATCACAAGAAATATATTTCCAAAAGATAGTTGTTTTTATGTATCTTTCTGTGATGGAAAAGCTAAATGCTCAATACCGTCCCCGAAAATGGTTTTAAGACAAGAAATTAAAAGTTCCACTCATTACCTGATATAACATCAACATGACATGTATTCAGCAATTACATAGTATATTTAATTCCATAACATATTAATATTAATTTATTTTTACTCTCCGTATTGATGTCAATAATATTTCGCCAAGTCAATTGCTAGTAGAGTAATCAAACTGTTCTTTATTCTTCAGGCTGTTCTCACATAACTTAATCACTTTGGTGCATGTGGTGTTTAACTTTAAAACATAGAGGAAGTGTTCATTATTAATAATATTTGTAATAACTTTAACATATTTCGTCCACCAGTCTAGCAACTAATAAAGATAAGATGTTTTGTTAGCAAACAAACCTCTCGTTTAATGTGCTCTTGGTTAATGCATTTGGCTTTATTTGATTGCAGTTTAACATAAATTGAATTTCTACTTAAAAAACTTTCTAATTTAACTTGTATCAAAAATACCTTTTAATTCGAATTGGGACATAAATAACTAAACTGTACTGCGTATGACGTTAAGATTTAGTAAGTTCTTGGTGTTTCTCCCTCTGCAGGTTTCGATGATTTACAAGGAACCCAGCCTAGGAAATGTGGTCAACATTGTGGTAGTGAAGTTGGTTACTTTGAGTGACGAAGAGGTAATGAAATATACAGTTGTTTGTGTTTAAAAACTTAAAGCATTGTACACTGCATAAGTATTTTTTGTTTAAAGTTCTGTTGTATGTAGACAGGTAATGCTGTCAGTCACATGTGCTTGCCACCACAATTAGAACAACCACTTACTCCAAAAGAGTTATATTAAAACTTTTTTACTCATGAATCGAAAAACACTAATGAAATGAACTTCAGGTTAAACATGAAACAAAAGCACTTGTAAACTCCGAGTTTCACTTAGTTAAGGCTAAGTAAGAAACACAAAGATTTGGAACTTCAAATTGTAACATGAAATAAGAGTAGTGTTTGTTTAGATACGTTCTTATGATGCTATTGTAAATAACATCAGACTTTCATTTCTTTGAACAAAATACTTTACATTTTCAAGATCTTGTTGAGATCCCTGAAAATCGATGGCAAAATTGTAGGCTGAATAATATAATGGTTCGTTTCCTTTAAAGCTGAAACTTTGAAAAATACTGAAGGGAAAATTAAACCAGTAAGAGTGGCATTATGATAACAAAACAGAAAGAATTGCTTTTTACCTTTCCGTCTAAATGAAACATTTATCAGCATTAATCCACCAATGTGATGTGAACCGCCAAACTTCGATTTGAAAAGTTATGATATGGCAATCGATATCACGTATAGAAGAGATTATTTTAATCTGATGCTCTGAGGCTAATCTGAAAGAATTTCATGATTAACTTTTTACTCTTTAGTAAACACTATTTTACATCTATTTTGGTATACATTAAATATCTTCTATAAATACTTTCACCATCAGAAATGTCGTCACATGCACAAAAAACATAATTTGTTAGTGTGATGTTTCTACCATTCTTGAAGAAGCCCGATCTTTCCTTTACAATTTCTGGACTCAAAGATGAGCTTTTCTTTGGTAAATCGAATAGAATAATTTTAATATTTATTAACGGTGACGAACTTTTGTCTCATAACTTATTAAATTTTAAACAAGTCTTAATAATGTTTTTGTCAGTTTACAGAAATTTGCTACTAAATATTTCAGAAAAGTGAATACCTTAAATTTGAAGGCAAAAACATTGACGGATTCCAAAAGGTTCTTAAACGTGTCAACTATTATTCAACTGTTTGTTATTTACAACAACGGCCTGGCATGGCCAGGTGGTTAAGGCGCCCGACTCGCAATCTGAGGGTCGCGGGTTCGAATCCCCGTCACACCAAACATGCTCGCCCTTTCAGCGTTATAATGTGACGGTCAATCCGTTGGTAAAAGAGTAACCCAAGATTTGGCGGTGGGTGGTGATGGCTAGTCTCACACTGCTAAATTAGGGACGGCTAGCGCAGGTAACTTTGCGCGAAATTCAAAACAAACAATTACTTACTAATTTATTGTAAATATGTAATATCATATTAAGTTGTGTTACTCTACTATCTTTTTAAAATATATAAAATTGTATTTCGAAATGTTTCTGCTACTAGTTAAACTCAAATACGTTACTCATTGAAGTAGAACTTTATGGCTCCCTCAGGTCTCCATATTTACACTGACCTACTTCATACCATTTAGGTTCCAACAGATAAGTTTGAATGGTGAATTTTGCTTAATAAATTGAAATCACATGTAAAATTTCATTGCTTTTAATTATTGGTTTTAACAGTATTGAGTTTAGCTTAAAAATCTAACATTTCTTTATTCACAATATAGTTTCGTCAATCTTATAGTACCATCGCTTGACAATAGTACAATATATAACATGGCATCCTAATCTTTCACGTGTCTCTCTAATATTTAATTTTAATTTATAGCATATTATTCGAGCACCTAAATAAATGAATGACAACTGACTATAATGGAAATTAGAATAGATGTAATGATTTATTTTTTGAAATGTTTAAGTATTTAGAAAGAGCAAGTATATATAGTTTTCTTTTCTCGGTACATCTTTGCCCATCCTAGATATAGTATACTGAAAATACAGAATAAAACAGATTATTTTTTATCAGCATTCTTTGAATTTTTCGATGAAGAAGGACATTTTAAGGATAATATCAAGGAATCTGAAACCACAAAATTTTATTCGGTGATTATTAGAATTTAAAACACTAAAAGAATATACTCTGTTAAGAGAGTATACTGATTCACAGAGGGACAAAGTATAACAACACCTAATTTATATAATCATCGTGAGATATTCGTTCTCATCAGAACATTATACATATAGTACATTCCTACATATGTCATCCTCCATGTCATCACGAGAATGTAATCTTAGAAAGAGTGCATTTTTACACATTACTTTATCGTGTATTATAGTACATTCCTACATATGTCATCCTCCATGTCATCACGAGAATGTAATCTTAGAAAGAGTGCATTTTTACACATTACTTTATCGTGTATTATTATTGCAGAACAAGGATATCATCCACTCAAGTGCATCCAAGACATTGCGCAGCTTTTGTCGTTGGCAGCGGATCAATAACTATGAAGACGATAGTCATCCTCATCATCATGACACTGCTGTGCTACTCACAAGGTAATCATTTTTAATTTACATTGTTCCTGCTTATTGGTGTTACACCCAAAACATGTCTTATCTTATATGGGGTATTTGTGCTTGTTTTTGATCTACTCAGCAGGTTATATTTACCTGTTTCACTTACTTAGTGCTTTATCTTATACATATTGCGAACCATGGTGTATGTTCGTCTGTTTTCCGTTTGTAAAGCTGCGCACGCAGGCAAAGCTCAACATTCACTTTTGAAATGACGGGAGGACAGGCATGAATAATGTTGATGCCAAATTTTATTTCGCAAGCAGAATATTCTACATTAAACTGATAGAAATTAATCACACTATCATTCACATTTCAAAATGTGACGTAACTTAAATAATCAAAATCTAGAATTACCGTATATTATTGTTGAGCGGCTCAAGAACAAAGGCTGAAGCATGCAACTTTTATCTGTGCAAAAGAATTTGTACAGGTTTACGATCTTTCGACATCCGTTTAAGAAAAAATATCATACTACGTACAAAACACTCCAGTACTTCTAAATCAATATATCTTTTTTTACACTAGTTATGGAAAAGTGAAATTCATTACACTTTCAGTTATCATAACAGTATATTTACTTTTATCTATTACTGGTACCTACTGCTGTGCTTCTTGCAGGGTAAAGTTTATTTTTGTGTTTTACTTAGACTTACGTCTTTGTTACTTACATGGTAAGATTTACATATCTGTGTTACATATACTTACTGTTTTGCTACTAAAATAGTTACTTATATAACTTACTCATGCTCACAACTGTGCTTTTTACAATGTTATGTATACTTACTCTGATACAAACACATAGGAAAAGATTATGCTTGCCAAAGGTACTCACACTTGCTACTATTTCGTGTGTTTTAAATTAATTAGGAAGTTTTTTTCATCTAATGGGACAGGTTCTAAAAGAGCCTACGTACAAAACCAATGCTTAAAGGAGAAGTACATTACTCTATCTACCTTTATAGGTAAACGTTATTAAATATTTAACACTAATAAATCCCATGTATAAAACCAAGAAACGAAAACGTTATAGCTTGTATATGCGTAGTAGAACTGAAGTTGAAACTGTAATCTGTAAACACTTAAACACGATGCACTTCTTTCTACAGTATAATGAGCTACAGTTTATGATGGATATGATGTCAATTTTAAACATATTTAGGGAAAGCACATTGTTGTTTTTGCACTACTAATTAGCTTTAATTTAGTAGTAACTAGCGTTGGCTAATTAAAAATATACACACATAATCTAGGATTTAGTTGACAAGAAATAATTAAAAAGTTTAAGTAACGAATAAAAGAGAATAAACCAGGTGTATAGCAAAAACATTCAAGTCTTTGTTATAAGGAAGAGTAAAAGTTGATGGAGAAAGGTAAAATTGATTGAAAGTTAAAGAGTTGAAGTAGAGTGAAACTGAATTTAAAATAAAAGAATCGACTTTAAAACGTAAATATTAGTCAGTTGGATCTACGGACATGTCTTACTGGTGGGTCACAGAAAACAGACAGAAACTACAGTAAAGGCAAATGGTTCTAAGAATCATATCGTAAAGAGGAAATAGAACTAGGTAACTAGACTATAGTCACATGAGAAAGCAGGAAAAACAATTGCTGTCAACAACAGATTTAATTTCACCAGGTAGACAAAGGAACTGAAATAATTACAATTTAATCTATATTTACGTGTATCTTATAGGACTATTATGTTATAATGTGACGTGCTACAGAACTATTACTAAAAACGACGATGACGTACACAGTTAGGCGTTAAACTGCAGTGGTTGACATACATACCTGTAGCTTTCTGTACAAAATTCAGCTTCACAATGTCTAAAATTATACAATCTCCAATTTCGCGAATTTAATTCCTTACTTCCACTATTTACATAGCTTGTTCTAATTTACGAAATTTAATACCATCTTGTATACAATATTATAACGTTACTGAAATATAGAATGAATTTAAATATAACGTATGAATAAGATGGTCAAAGTTGTGGCCAATTTGTCAAGCTGCTTGAAAAATGGAATACTCAAAGCAATTGTTGTTAAGCGACTCAACACTAGGCTTTGTTTTGTGATTTTTAGTATGTTACTCTAATTCATTATTGGCAAGTGATTAAGCTTCTTAGTCAAATTAATTTGTTAGCCTAAAATCGCCGTGTTATTAATCATGTGCGGTATCATAACAATTCAGAACGTAAATCCTTGTAGAATTATCAGATATTCATAAACAGTTTAAACTGTCTGTTTAAGAACTGAGCATCCTTTCCACAATGATAGTTAGACTAAAAAGTAAATAGTGTTTACTTAAATTAAAGCGTAAAAGAAACAGAATAGCATATTTGGCGTCCATAGTCTCCAAATGTTTAGTATGTTGAGCAGTACGCATATAACAGACACCACTTTCAGTGTTAAAACACCTATACTACGGGAGCCACGCGTTACTAATGTAGAGACGATATTTGAAAATCGTATGCATTTTTCCAAGGGAATTACAAGGCATCTCACATTACAAATAGGCAAGACTGGGTATAGCCGGACAGTGAATCCCAGGATTTACAACTTGCGTCCCATTTCTGCTAAAACTCACTTCACACTTTGGATCTGTTAGTGAGCTATAAGTGACGGTTAAAACCCGCTATTTGGTCATATAACAGCAGGCCAAAAATTTGTGGTGTGTGCTGTTGACTAACCGCTTTCTTTCAGTTCAAAATTATAGAGAGCTTGTTTCAAACTTTGCTCAAAATTGTGAAACAAACCAAATGAATAGGCAACGCACTGATTTTGATTTACCTGTCTAATGAAAATTTTGACGGTCGTGGATACTTATGTTGTTTGATGTACTAAGAAATGTCTCGTTCAAAAATTATAACTGAATTGAATTAATCAAAATAATGCATAATATACAATTATTTCTCAGTTCTTCATGCTGTATGAAATACTAATAGTTTAAAAAGTCTTATGAAGGTCTTTGTTTTATGAGAGACGAAATCCTAAATCTACAAAACCATTTGTTTTAATTCTGTATTTTTCAAACTTCTCGGTGTTGTATTGCATACAATTATGTGTTATCTTGAACATCCTTACTTATTGAAAAAATCTTAAATACTAATAAATCATCTATCGTCACATTAGATTTTGGCAATTATTTACTCGTCAGAATTTTCACGTCAATAAAATGGAGAGTATTTATACGATATGTTAATTTTCATGTCTTCTTACTTTGTGCTATTTGTAAGTAGGGTTTATAGAAATTGTGACATTTCAAAGTGCCTACCATATTATTTGAACCGTTATACATTGTTTTTGTTATTGTACAGAACGCAAATACCTTACTTACTTATGCAACAGCTTCTTTATAAAGAATAAAACCTGTATTTTAAAATCGTCTATGTGATCCAAAGATCTATTCTATTACTTAATACCTCCATTTGTGGGTCATAAAACAATATATGATTTTTTTAGAATTAGGTATCTATTAAGGTCAGTATTAAAAGATATACACTCTTTAGGATTATTAATATTTGCTTCTTGACAGCACTCCTGACATTTTTTTAACAAACAGTTTCCACGATGCCCTTTTATCATATTTAAGTGAACCAAAATTCTACTGTTAAATCTAAGTATTTTATTTATAATCTAGGCTTAAAATTCAAGTTGTTTATGAGTGATACATTAAGATTTAAAATGTTGCAAATTCACGTCCATAAAATTACTTATGAGTGTCGTAGCTTGAAAGTACCAGAAACTCGGCCTCCAGATAACGATATGATTGTTTACTTCTGAACCAAAGAGTTGTCGGATTATAAGTGTCTGAATGTAACATTTGATAGCGTAACATACATGAACAAACCATATAAGTATTTTTTTTATTATATCATAAGACGTAATGAAACTGACAGAGAATAATTCGTAAATGGTTTGTTTCTACCAAATTGCAAGAACTTGTTGGCAAATATTTTAGTTTTAGGTGTTTGTAAGCGTATATTTTCTTATGATAATTTTTCTATTTTCTCAAGGGAAGATTTGTGTCGAGTTACGAACTCCTGTGACACACTCGGTAAGTATCGCTTTCCTTATTCTCTGAATCATGTTATTAGTTCAACTTTTTTATATCATACTTCTTCATTACATCCTAAGGCCTGATGAAAAAGTAACATTAAGCCAACAATTTCGTTTTTAAGCTACACACGCAGTTTATGTTAAGTAGCTGCAATGTCTAATTTTTAGGGTATTATTGAAAGTTGAAGACTTGCAGTTTATTTTTCAGAATGAAGTATTAAGCTAGAAATGCTTTCCAGTCTAGTCGCTTTTTTTAAATATGTGACTAAAGTATTCTGTCTGTTTTCATAAGCTAAATGATAAGAGAATATTATTTCAAAATATTTTGCCCTCCAGTGGCACAGCGCTATGTCTGCGGATTTACAACGCTAGAAACCGGGTTTCGATACCCGTGGTGAGCAGAGTACAGATAGCCCAATGTGTAGCTTTGTGTTTAATTACAAACAGACATACAAAATCAATATCTTATTTATTAGAAAGCTCAATTGAAATTGCTATTTAGAAAGTTATTAGAAACATTATTCTGTTTTTCATAATCCAACAGTATTTTAGAAAGTCAAAATTTAATTACTTTTTAAGTTTATATAAACTGGTAATTGTAAATGTATCACAGCGAGATTTTCCAAACGTTAAACAAAAATTTATTATTATGGTGTATCTTTTCACCCACACATCTATCTGTTATTTAAAATTGTTTAGTGATTTTCATTAGTTTCTAGTCAGAGAAATTATATTTAAAGCCCACTGCCAGTCACTGTTCGCCTTTTTAACATAGTTTTCGATTGACCCCAGGGTGGTTTCTATTTGTTGTTACGTATTAGAATTTTAAATGGTCTGAAATTGAGTTAAATGATACTTTAAATTTAGTAGTTAAATTGTACTTTGGATTTAGTAGTTAAATTAAAGCAGATGTAAAGTCAGTTTACGATATTTGTCAACAAGATTGATACACACCGTTTTCGTTTTTAACACAAATACGTTTAAATATACACACAACAATTCAATTTACAATAACAGTTATTACTAATAGTTATTACAAACAGTGATTTATAAACAAACATTTCACAAACTTTTAAGCAATATAAAGTCTTTCTTTTACTTTAAGTCTGGAATTTCTTCGATATCTTTTCGAGGGTTCACGATGAGCGAGTTAATTATTAGGTACGATTCGTTTAACAAAAAAGGGAGCTAGCTAGCCATGTAGTTCTCGCTGATCACAGGCCTATTAGAAATTGAGTTTCCACCGATGGCGTTAGGTCATTTACCGGCCACACACGCTGAGCTCTCCACGATGAATTTATATAACGTTTTCGTAAAAATACTAATGTCGGATGAGAATCCACTGAGGTTAAATAGTTTGTAATGTTCAAACTTTGTAAATATTCCTGATCAAATATCTGAAGTTTTCCGATTCATAAGCATTATGACAATCACAGTTATAGCTTTCGAAGTTTATAGCACACTAACTATAGCGAACTAATAATAGACACTCTCTTTTGGCGTGTCGCGTTGGTTATATTTATAGGCGTGGGAAGGTTTTCTAGAAAACTCAGATTACGTAATAATACATTTAAGCGTTTACGTATACACATATAATAACAAATTCTTTATAACTCCCTCCTTAGAGAATTAAAAATTGGCTTCAGACAATTTTTAACTAAGATATTATATATATATATAAACATTGGCAAGAATACATTATATATATAATACATTATTCAAAGGATTATACAACTTCAATAATAATTACAGTATAGAACACAACCAATACAAATCACCTTATGATCATAAAATTTCATAGTACATGAAAGTACATCGGGAAAAATGTTGTCAACCCTTATTACATGAATTATCTCCAAACCATATTCTCATAGTGATAAACTGCAATTTAACAGCCTTATATTTTTTGTTTTGTTTTTGTATGTGTGTTTTCTTTTCTCTCTCTTTCTTTCTCTCTTTATCTGTTTCTTTCTATGTTTCTTAGTTTCTGCCTTTTTCGTTTTTCTGTCTTTGTCTTTCTTTCTTTCTATTTGTCACCAATATATTTTGCCCTCATAATCGTGACATTATTTCTGACCAATCATTCCAGAATTTTTAAACCAGTTTCTGTCCTGTAATGATAAAAACAATACTTACAACTTACATTAATATATGTAGCACTGAAACGGGCTTTTTTATACTTACATCTTATTACCATCGATAACAAACCCAATCAAGGAAAGAAATTTTCCATCAGTGATCTCAAACATTTCAAGACAGAAGACATTTCAATAAATATCTGTTCAACAACCAGGCTTCAAGTATATGTGTAAAAGTCATCCAGAAATGACAAGAACTTGATTTAATGAAACATCAATGGACACGCATCTGAATGGAAAAAAAATGAAATAGGTATTGGAAATAAAACAGAGAGATGTGCAAAACTGACCAATGACCATCAGTTTGAGTTATTCAGCAATAATTAACAGCAACGTATTTAAAGAAAGTTCAGCAGCTATAAAGAAATAATGGGATGAATCTTTGCAGCTTTGAAGTAGCAACTCCAATGATGTTGAAGATTTACTAAAAACTGATGGCAGTGACCAACAGAGGCGTACAGATGGGTCCTAATACACTGTGGCATTTCATTAGGAAAGTGCCTAGTTAGCCAGTTGTTTATGTTTCAGCAGGATAATGACCCTCAAACATATGACCAACATGATAAAAAAATCTACTGGGAGAAGAGACAAGTAGTTGGAACACAAAAACTTCAGCCAGGATTTACTCATAGTTTAGGTTTGAAAACCATTGAGAGTACTTGGCCTTACCTAAAACAAAAACAAAAAACAATCAAGCAACTCGTGAAAGTGTCTGCCATGATACAAGCTATGTTAAAGAAACTTTCACGCACTTTAATTAATAACTTCTATGACAGCATGGTTTTCATGTGTACCACTCTTACAAGAGCAAAGACTTATACACAAGGTACTCTGTGTCAAGTTATGTATTGTAAGGCTGTATACCTAATTAAGTTTATGTGCTTAATGAACTGAATTTTAAAACCCGTAATGTAGTTTGTTTTACAAATGTGTTGATATTGATCCCTATTTCTGTATACGAAATTGCATAAGTAAATTTTGAATGAAATCTATAGTATTTGCACAAGCAATCAAATAAAAATCTAAATGTGAAAACAATGTAAATCCCTCAGATTGTCAATAGGTATGTATAATTGTTGAGATGTCACAATACATACCTAAAACAACATTAATTATTTCACCATCCAGTGTAATCACATAAAACATAGCTCACCTTACCTGATAACAAGGTAAATGTATGTACAAAAATTCTTTACACACTGAAGATCATAGTTGTATCTTAAACCCTATACAGTTCTCTTCTTGTCAATAGTCCACTTAGGCCAATTCAAATGCTTTAGAATTCAGTTGACAAGTCAAACTATTTTTCTCTATTTCTATCACATTTGTATCCGTGTATAATTCACTTTGATTGTCGCGTGAGTTCCCGCAGTTGTATCCTGAACTTCCAATAATCTTTTTTCAAAGTCCATACAGGCGTTTCAATTAGTTTAGAACAGCCTTTGACGAGACCAGTTATTTTCCTTATCTCTTTCAAACTGTTAATCCCACTCTAACATATTAACCATTAAGCCATTCACTCTCATGATGATTAACTTCTCTTTGATATGACTTTACTTTTACTCTGATTTTGCTCGTCTGGTCACAGCTATTCATACGTGTATCACTTAGGCTTTCTAGAAATCTCCATAGCCTCGACATCAATAGATTGCAAACATAATGTTCAATGTCCTCGACATCAATGAATTACAAGAAAAAAAGTTATTAATTAGTAATACTACTTACACTAAACAGTCCTTTATATCTGACAATAAGCCCATCTTCAAGAGAAATATTTAAATTTTTTCACTAAATACTAAGCTAATATACTAAGTTTTCTCATATAGTTTACACTAACATTTGCAGTTTCTTTGTCTGTCTCCTCTCATGTATGGGCCTCATATTCTAAGACAAAGTCATTATGATGGTCACACCTGCAACAGACATCTTTCTTTCAATAGCTGCACCCATTAGGTTTTCTTCTTTTCCAAAATACTTATTCAACAGATTGGCATGGTAGGTCCTGGTTTTCCCATTCATATTCACCTTGTAGTCCATTCTGTTGAGTAATTCCTGTACTTCAAAAGGTTCTTTCTACTGCAGGATGAGTTTGTTGTGGTCTGTAGGCAGCAGAACTAAAACCTTCCATCCGACCTTGAAATGTCAATTATTGGCCTTCTAGTCATAGTAATGCTTCTTATTGTCTTGAGCCACATACAATTTCTGTCAAGCTAATTAACAGGTCTCCTCCAGTCGGTTTCTGAGGTCTAACATATACTGTATGTGTTCCTTACTTCTGACTCTTCTTCCCCCGTCCATAGCTCTTTCAATATTTGCATCAGATCTCGTACTGTTCTTCCATGCAGTAACTTGAAGGGTGAAAATCCTGTACTTGCTTGTGAGTTTTCTCGATAAGCAAATAATACTGCCTGTCCTAGTCACATAATCTCTCTTGGCACATCTTCTTTACCTTTTTTAAAACCTCTATTGACTCCCTCACAAAGTCAATTACATCTGAGATTGTATGGGGTGATAAAGAGCTGCCGAGTGCTGATGTGTATACACACTTCCTGCATCAGTTCTGAAGTAAACTGGGTTCCTCTGTCACTCAAGATTTCTTTCAGAAAACCTACTCTGCAAAATACCTCCAGGAGGGCTTCCGCCACTCTCTCTGTCTCTATCTTCACCAGTGCTATGTCTTCTGGATAACATGTGTCAGAGTCAACTACTGTCAGAAAATACTGGTTGACCTTGTCAGAAACAGGTGATAGTGGTCCAATCACGTCCACAGATACTCTGCTGAATGGCTCTTCTGTGAGTAGCATCTCTCCCAATGGCACCTTGGCTACCTTCCCTCTAGGTATTGTCCTTTGGCAGATGT